CTTCCTTCCTTCCTTCCTTCCTTCCTTCCTTCCTTCCTTCCTTCCTTCCTTCCTTCCTTCCTTCCTTCCTTCCTCTTTTTCCAAAAAGAATCTATGCCTTTTCCCATCACACCAAATCAACAAAAGCAGCCCAGTACTGTAAAGGAAAGGAAATTATTATTTTTTCTCTCCTCCCTTTCTATTTCTCTCCTCCTAAACCAGAAATCCTTTCCTCCTTTTTTCACCATAAAAGAAACCTCATTCTTTATTCCCAAATTAAGATCTGTCCTACAATATACTCAAGAGCAACTTCTCAGCATATGTATGTGTGTGTGTGTGCGCGCACGCATGCGTGCATACACACAAACATTACATCTTTAACCTCTTATATTCTTTGTTGTAACAAGAAGCCTTAAGCCTTTTTCCCCTTCTTTGGTTTAGCAAGAAGCTTTAATTTTACATTTTTGTTTAGTTTTATTTTTTTGCTTTCCTCTTCTATAGCTGAACTCTATGTATGCTCCATTAAGTGAATAAGTTCTCAAAATCCTTTAAACTTCCCCACCTTTATTTGAACTCACTTGCCTTCTCTCACTGAACTGAATATAATACATTCCTCATTTGTTATTAACTGCTAATTATTTTATTGTTTTGTGTATCATTAGCCTCAAACTTTCTTTGTACTACTTTCCATATACATGGTCAAGATATTGGCTTATCCAGTGTACTAGTGGTCTCAAATACTCCTTAATGATTGGTTATTAATTATAGTATTGCTTTTTAATTTACGGAACATATAAACCTCTTTAATAGCCTGTAGTATTAAAGTCCAAACAGAAGTGGCTTTAAGGGAGACCTTACTTTGTAATATTTGAGAGTAGGGATTTTGGATTATTTCTCTCAGCCATGTAGTTCTTGCTGTACTCAGTTCCTTCTCACACTGTCCCTTCCTGTGAAAAGTATAAGGAGGACCCAGAACTGGCTTCCTAGGCATGTCAGACGCACTTCTATTGATCCAAATGTTACTAAGCCTTAATAAAATATATGCTGAGTAACTGAATTACTTTCATAGTATCAACTAGCAACTGGAATTTATAATTTTTTGGAATTGTTATATTTAAAAAAAATAAAAATCCAGATTTTATATTATGTAACTTGTAAATGTAATTTCCATCCCCTTAAAACTCATAAAACAAGCATTATCTGATATGAGTGTGGAATTTAAACTTGGAGATATGCCCTGTGCAGATGTTGTGAGAAAATACTAGGCTTTATCTTTTCAGGATGAGGAATGATGTCAACAGTAGTTGTTCTAACAAAGAGATCTATAATAAGCAGTAAACATAACCCAAACAACTGAATAACTGAACAGATTAGGAAAGAGCTGAGATTTTAACACACTTCCCTTCCCCCTTTCTTTTAGTTTACTGGTTTGGTCCAGAAAAAAATATATTTCAATTTGCAAAATCAAATTTAAAAACTGCCACTAAAATATACTTTTTCTTTCTTCCTAGCATTTTGCTTTTAAAAAATTCTACATCAAAAGATTGTATAGCAGAAGTCAAGAAAGAAATGATAAGGTCTGCAGGAATATGTATCTTGGGAAGGGTCTGCAGCTTCCTCACCTGACCCTCATGGATCAGGCACTGCAGATGATCTGTGTGGTGGATAGGAGTGAGAGTGCAAGAACAAGAAGCAGTAGGGAGCAATCAGTGAAGCTAAAATTTCATCTGGTAGAATTCTACCCTACCACTACATAAAGGACAGTGATTAATGTTGGTTGTTTTGTCTTGTAGGAAAAGTGGAAACCCTGATGAGAAAGGAAGTGCTACACCTTAACATGCCCCAAAGTAAACTGTTCTGACAGTACCACCTGCTGACCTTAATTGAGGTCAAGTGAAGTGAAGACAGGCTATTGGGACAGAGCAAATTATGCCTGCATTCCTCTGAGAATACTTGCTGATTGGGGGAAAGTATGTTAAAGCAGTTGTCTGGATATGCCCTTGCAGGTTACTATGTCTGCTTCTAGGGTAGATGCCATCTTAAAGGAACATTAATGTGATGCAGTCATCCCATAAAGAGATGCAACAAGTGTAATTCGGGAAATCTGTATTATCAGCCAAGTCCAGATAAGATGTATAGTCAATCTGAATTTAAGTAACTGTTAATCAGTTCCTCTTGATTATAGTTTTTTATTTGCTAAGCAATTAGTAGAGTATGCTACAATTATTAGAGCAATTGTTAGAGTATAGAGTTTTCAAGAGAGACCTGTAGAAGGAAGAATAAAGTGGGACAATTATTTCCCATGATCTGTATGCTCTGTTCCTGTTGCTAAATCCCCAAATAGTCTTTGCCTTTTAGCAGCTCCTGTTCAAGTTGTGATCTACTAGAACACCCAGATCCTTTTCACATTCACTGTTGTCAAGCCAGATCTCCCATCCAATACTTGTTCCTTTAATTTTTTTTCTTCCCAGATGCAGGATTTTACATTTCTTCCAGTTAGGTTTCATCCTGTTCATTTCAACCAACTAATTCAAACTTGCCTGAGTCTTTTTGAATCTTCTCTTTCTCTTCTAAATAGTACCTTCTCCTTCTAGTTTTGTTGCAACTTCAATTTGATAATCATTGCCTCAAACCCTTTATCCATATCATTAATAAAAATGTTGAACAACACAGGCCCTAGGACAGGGTCATGGTTATGTCAGTACACTTGATACTACTCTTCAGTCTGATATGGAGCAATTAGTACTCTCTGGTTGTGGTTGTTCAGCCAATTATGAATCCATCTTAAAAGTTTTATTTTCTAGCTTGTATTTTACCATTTTATTAATTAGGATATCATGACAGATTTTGTCAAATGCTTCTCTGCAATAAGGGTGCATAATGTCCATGGCTTCACCCCAGTCTGTTAAGCAAGTAACTCTGTCCAAAAAATGAGAGTAATCTGGCATGTGACAAACCCATTCTGGCTCTTGTTAATTGTTGCATTCCCATTCAAGTGCTTACAAACATGCCTTTGAATAATCTGCTTGAGGAACTTGCTCAGAATAGATGTGAGCTAACAGATTTCCCAGGTCTTCCTTGTTCTCTTTTTTTTTTAAAGATAGGGAACCTAATTTGTTTTCCAGTTTTCTGGGATATTTCTAGTTCTCCAGGAGTGCTCAGAGATTATAGTTAGCAGTTCTGTGATCATTTTCACTTTAGTACCCTACAAATACTGCAGAGGTGTGGAGATGTGAATTTATTGAAACTAGTTAAATTATTATTTCACCTCTCCTTGTCTATTGAGAGGTGCAGCTCCCTCCTTCCAATTAGTGGCACAACAATATGGTATTTTTTTCCCTTTGAAGAGAAGGCAAGTATAAAATACCAGTTAAGATGTTCTCCCTTCTCACTATCACCTATTACCATTTTTTTTTCTCTTCTCAACATTTCAACACTCTAGGAAGAGTTTGATCCTGTT